TCTCCAGTACAGTCGAGATGCTTAAGAACCACTACAAGGAGTAGCCTTGCCGAGTGGGAAAACAGTGCTCCGTAACTGGAGGGGAAGCAAGTGACTGGGTCATATCACCTGCAGGGATTGACGCAATGTGCTTACAGCTCACGAAGTCACTCCACCTTCCTGTTCTCGTCCTTCCAAATGCTCTTCATTTTTTTTTCTTTTTTTTCTGACATGCTCTATTCTTGACCAATTCCATCATGGCTACAAGTTCTACTTATCCTATCTGGCACAGATTTTGAAGATCCCAAATGCTACATCTCCCACAAGCTTAGTTTGTTCAATTTACAATGTTCCATGAATTACACGGTGGTACTACCGCGCCATCTCTGGGCGGTCTTAGATACTACAATGAACTGCTCTCGTTATTACGGAAGTCACAAATTAAAGTTTCTAATACCGCCTCGAGGTGGCACTGAGATGTCAATGTCACCGCAGTCATCAGGCACAACATACTGTGCAGTGAAACCTTTGGATACGGCCAACTTCACATTACGACTGCATCTTATTAGCGGACTGAATTGCTGAGTTCCACTCGTTAGCTCCCTATATCCAATGTTAAAACAACCTGTTTTCCGGCCACTCGTCTAATGCCGGCAGCGGTCGAGGATTAACAGTTTTTACGCTGGCCTTTCTTTAATCCGGCCAGAACACAAGAAGGAAAGAATCGATTTCTTCCGCTTTTTATTTCCTTGCCTTGCAGTCAGAATTCAGAGAAGGTTTCCTTCTCCCCCATCTCCCTCCTTTTTTCCCTCCCGCCTCCCAAATCCCCGCGTTGGCCAGTCGCTTCATTGTCGAGGTCACATATCCGCATTTTCGATAGTGAGAAAGCTGTGAGATAGCTGTGTTTGACCAGCCGTTAATTCCCCCGTGTTTCTTGCTCCCCAAAGTGCTTGCTAATAAATGTTATCCAAGCACCGATTTCCCAGCGGGTATAGGGATTTACGCGGTACCCGAGGTCAGTAAGTACCTATTTGGTACTTGGAATCGGCAACGTTGAGACACAGACGTACCAGTCGCCGACGGATCGCGTGGTAAATCTCTTCCTCGCCCGACCGTTCGTCTTCCGCGAATGAATCGCGAGGAAGAATGTGGCTTCAGTAATCTAGACTTCGGTCTTTGTCGAATCATCTTTATTCCTATATTTAATATCATATTTCTAAGCCTTAGAATAATGGCTCTTCCACTCCCCGCATAGAGAAACGACTGTGTTCCTACTTTCCCCGCGACCGAAATTGGTTTTAATCGAGAAAACTGAATTTGTTTGGTGAAGGTCCAGCTGGACCGATGCCAAGGGACGGGAAGCGTCATTTAAATTATTTTTTAAAAAATCAGTTAGGTGCAGTCGGCCCAATCAGTCCGGCGGCACTCAAACTGTTAAATCTCGATTCTCCCATTCACCTTCTTCATTTGCAGTGGGTCCTAATCCATGATGAAATTATCGAAGACATCATCGATCCGTTTTGGCTCCTGTTAATCAGAAGGAGAGTAGGTGAATAGTTAATCGATTTTCAAGGTGTCATTCGATTTTCAAGGTATTTCACGTCTATGAAGGGTGATATTAAAAAAAAAACGGAACGAGACTATTACTCTCAAATATTGAATGAGTTTCAGGCCTTGTGGCAGGCAAGAGCAAGAGGAATGAAAAAGTACGCACTGTCCAATTTATCCAAACCGGACGTTAGACATATAGCGTGCGCGATCCTGGCCGCTAGCTATGTCGAGAGACTGATGCATACCCACACACGGTGTGGGTATGCGAGAGAGTTTTACCGGCCAAACGCTTCAAGATATGAAATTGGGGGTTTCGACATGACTCTACCTCATCATTCGAGGATGTGCTTTTGAGATATGAAATTTGCAAATCGGCATCACGAAAGGAAGGGGAGGCTACTTTCACAGAGAAATCCGAGATTCGCTCTCGTCTCGCCATCTCTCGGATGTAGAAGGAGACGAGAGTTGCGCTGGTACTCGATAGGAAGCGCTGGCATCTCTCACGGCACTGCCTCCCACCTGCAGCCGAGAGGCATCGCTCACGGCACTGCCTCCCACCTGCAGACGGGAATCCAAGGATTTTAAACGTCAATGAGGAAATACGGGGGCGATTCGTCAGTTCGTCGCCGCTCAGGTTTCGCACGGGCACTGCAAAGACGTGCATCGCCTCGTTAAGGTCCATCTCTGGAATTGCACAATTTCATATTTGCGAGCGACGCAAGGGAGCCGACGAGCGGGTGAGCTCTTCAAAGGTTCCATTGTTTTTCTGTATCGCAGTCGCATTAGCAGATGGGAAAAAAAAGTATATATGGGACCGAGACCTCGCAGTAAAAAAAAGGTGATTTGCGAATCGTGACTGCGCTGTTCGCTGCATCTTCCCTGTCTTCCTCCATTCGTATGAGCACGATGATCGCCCTCGATGTTTCCGGGTTGCGTTTCCATGTATTGAATAGTAGGCTTCTTTCTAAATACAACCCCACATATAATTTTTTGTTGGCTCAATGGGCACCATGCTCCATCGGCGTGACTGAGGCGTCACCTGGAATCATACGCGAAACGAGCTTTGGTAAGTGACATCGGCGTGCTCAGTTCTGCATTAGGATATTATGAAATTCTTTTTCTTCGCCTCTGTCGACACCACGCTCCATTGACGCGATCAGGTCCCTAGGGTAATCACGGGTCAAGTAAGACCTCTGGGCTATTTACATACGACAGTGGTTGTCTCTGAAGATCACGATGAATCTTCCCATAACGACGAAGCGCTTCGTTTCCTCCGGTTTGCTGCAGGTTCGTTTAGAAACCTGCTAACATATTCCGTGACCCAATAAGTTAGCTATAGTACCGATAGTTTATTTAAAATAAAAATTATAATATTAGCGACAGTTTCTTGCGAAATTCACGCTCGTGAGACTGCTTCGTATTTTTACTGCACGGTGCAGCTCTGACGAAGCCAGGAAACATTTTTTCGGGATCGTTCGGCTTTCCTCATCCAAGTGGGTTCAAGGGATGCAATCTTTTTGCATCCCTTGCGGGCCACCATGATGGCGGCCCGCACAAAGCCCAAACGGAAACATTCCCAAACCTCCGTCATGCCTTCAAGGAATTACTGTGTGCAGTACTGGGTTCACAGAGGAGGAATATCAGTAGGAAATGACAACCGAAATCCGTAAAGGTCCGCCAAATATGATCGCTTTTGCGCAAGTGCGATCGTGCAAAAAACCCTGGTTGACACTCGCACAAGTAACTCGAACGAGAAAATCGCACGAGTAAACTCGCTATCGTTCACGCATAGGACCGAGAGGGGATTTCGAGACTGGCTTTTTGGCGAACTGGCACCGGAAAATGAAACTGCGAAGCGCAAGTACTCGAATCCAGGCTCTCGGGGGACATGCCGCACGTTCCTGCCCGTACCCGTATTGCATCGTACTTCATTCGGAATTCCATCAGTTGTACTCTACGCATTCTCTCCATAGAATGTATGTAGCATCTAGAGAGGCCTTCGTTGCCTGTAGGTCCCTGGGTATATAGCCCGGGGCAAAGATGCCTCTTTTTCCCTCCCCTTTCCCATGTGTCTCCTATGAACTCCTTGCTCGTGCGACTTCAGTAAGAAGGCAGCCGCACCAGGAAGGGTGCTGCGCCACGCGCCATAGGGGTGGCCCAATTCATTTATATGCTCTCTATGATTCTCTCAGAGTTTGTCTTCTTGTGAAGACACAAGAGCACACACACACGAGTGCGCGTACTGGGTACACGGTGGAAGATGATAAGAGAATAAATACGTCGATATACGTAGGGACCCTACATGAAGATATCAGTAAGTCAGTATACTATAAGGAATGTTAGGCATAGGCCTAGAGTAGTGAGTTTAAGTAGAGGCGACACTCTGAAGGGTAAAGGGTCGAAATATTACAGAGACATCTGGTTGCTTGTTTTCAACAACACTTCCATGAAGCATGCTTCATGGCAATGGCAGGCGGAATCGAGAATCGACTCGTTTGGGGATTCGACCAAAAGGGATTCCTCAACGTAACACGCGTGTCTCGTCGAGTAATAGGAATAGGTGGTTAGATAACTTTTCCCCAGCACTATTCACATCTATATCGGGAACTTAGCAGCTTCACATCAATCGAAGCGGATAGTCAATCAATAGGGAAGACCTAGTACTAAATGTGTTCTTAATAGGGAAAAGAATGCGTCCCTCTTGAAAGGTGAAAATGAACTCTGAGGGGGGGGGGGAAGGAACCTTGGAGGCGAGGATGGAGAATGGCAATTAATAGAATTACCGAGTGAATATTTATTTCGCATGGGGCGATGCCGAAGGGCGTAATTTGCCTATCGAAAAACTGATGCCATCTTGAAAAGAGGCATTTGCACCCTTCATGCTCATCTCATGTCCAGTGACAAAGCATGGACACCCTTGATATTGCGGGATCTCACCTTTACTGCTTGCTATGGGAGGGAAAACTGATAACTCCCGTAAATATTTCCAATTTCACAGCATTTTCAGCAATATTTATTGAACCAATGAGTTTTGCGTATAGAGCTAGTCCGCAGTTGCGCGTATAAGCTGTACTTTAATCTCAAAATATCCGTGTCGTCAAATTTAAATACTTATATGAGAAAACAGAAAAAGCATCTAATCCTCACGGAAACGCCTTTCTGATGCAGTAATCGTACTAAAGCAAAAAGCCAAAATATGAATTTCTAAAGGAAAATAATAAGCGACTCAGAAGATAAGAGACTTAGATTAAATGAGCAGATGATTCAGCGATCGAAACGATGGTTCAGTAATTCGTCGTGAGAATTCAAATATTTATTCGCCTTCAATTCGTAAGGATGAATAGTACTTTCCAACAGGAGATAAGAGTTTAAGTCGACTTCATTCATGAACGCTGCAAATACACTTCGCTTAATAATAATAAAAAATTCCAAGCGTTCAAATGCACAACAGAAGAAGAACAGTCAGGACAACGGCAAGAAAGAACATAAATAATGTAAAGGAAAGCGAGCAAAAAAGAGCAGTCAGAACGAGGAAGAAGAAGAAAGCCGCGAGAGCCCAAAGGTGCCGCGGCCTCGCCGGGTCCCTGGACTCTTCAGCGTCGTCGAGCATCCTGAAAGAAAGAATAGAAAATAGCTTTAAAAAAGATGTATGGAAATGTGGAAGGTTTTAATGCCATCGAATGGGGAATTGAAATTGCACTAATTTCATTATATATATTAATTGTTTTCGAGCTAAACAAACCTTTCAGCGTCAATCGGTACCAGAACTGCAATTAATTATTGATACGCAAATACATGGAATAAATCTCCCTGAAAGGCTACAAGGGTTAACTTAAGTGCACTCACACGGCCACCGCTTCAGCAGCATCAACTCGGTCTTCAGATGAATGCTCGCCGGGCATTAAGGAATGAGGACGAGATTCCTGGAAGATGGGGAACGAGATATTCGGAAGAGAAACGCGACCGGATCTCGACCGGGCATCTGGTCAACGAAGGAGATCGCGATTGGCGATATCAGTAATCTAATTTTAAAATGGCACTCGATACCCTTTTGTACAAATTAAGACCAAAAATGCTTGGAAAGAATGGGAACTCCTATTAAGTTTGTTGTATTCGATAGGCTGAAATGGATACGCCAGTCAATCATTTCCCAAGAAAAATCAGATTGTAAATGCTTCGTAATTTTAACTTCCCAAATGAGAGGGAATGGAGAAAGGACTAATTGATAATTTCTTATGAAATTATCTTCAATAAATCCGCTAACTCTTTCTTAAGTGCATTCTCATACTGTAGATTGCGAAACTCACGGATGCTTGATATCTCATGATATACGAGGTGATATCATAGTAAAGCTATTTCGGCTTCGATGAGCAAGATGAGACCACTTTCCTGATTCTTCAGCATAGTTTCGAAAATCACACGATCGTGGATGGGTTCTTCCGCCTTTCGGGTGTGAGCTTTGTTGGTGTTGGCCGGCAACGTCGCCGCAGACTTTCTTTCAACCCAAGAACTTGAAGTCTGAAGTTTCTGTGAACTTTTCTTCATCATGAACGATTCGATGATAAGTTCTATCTACCTAAGATTTTTGGGAAAGGTAGACACCTTCCGCAAAGATTTGGGAACCTCTTACTTTCAAGGAATGTCCAGATTATAAAATTAAAAAAAGAAATTAAATTAAATTTAAAATAGAGGATGATATCCACTGAAGAACTCTGCACCTTTCATGAAGGCTGCCACGCCAGCATCATCATCCGCAAGGGGAAGGCACGCCTTTTGGCTTGGCAACGCGTCCAAGGCGTGCGACGACACGAGATGCGACTGTCCGACTTGCGCCAGGGCCTTCCTGAAGGCTTGGAACCCGGTCCGACCCTTCGCGCGGACGATCCTGAGGATCGCCTCCCTCTTCTCGCGCGCCCTCAGCGGCTTCTCCCCGTTGTCCATCCAGTCCACCGGGAGGACGTATTTGGAGATGAGAATCGGGGAAATCGCGTCGACATCGAGATATTCCAGGAAAATCGGCCACTGCCTTCGGAGGATTGTTTCAGAAACGGACATCTTGTCAAATTCCCTGAAATGAACACATTCTGATGAAATTGATCAATTTTCATTTTCGTCAAGGTTTACCTACCCTAAACATAACCACAAAGGCCAATGTTTAATAACCTATAAATGATGATATGTAATTATATTAATGAATAATGATAAGGATAGTCTAAGATTATTATACTAAGATTATAACTACAAATCTGGTGAAAACGACCGGGAACGTGTTCATAAAAGACACTCGATGACACTGACGAAGCGCAACGAGTCCGGATAGTAAAATGGTCAAAGGATCGCCAGTTCGGCCAAGAGAGAATGAGAGAGGAATCCGTTAAACGATTGGAGGGAAAAAATCATCGCCTTTTGTATAGTGCACGGAGAAATATAATTTCAAATGATTGTGTTCCACGAAATCCCCTACCTGCCACCCAAACCTAAATGAGCCTCGTTCGGATCCTCGGAAGCCGAATCGCCCATTCCGGTCTTGCCTCCCGTCGTAACTGATTCTCGAAGATAGAATATATCGTTCCTCATAGGGAAAGGCGTCCAGGAGAGCCTCCACTCAATAGAAGCGCATTGGGACCCATCTCGATACATGAGTCATTGCCTCTATCTCCAGCGTCAGTACGAGGGGATAATTATTTACTATATGTTGAAGCATTCAGCTAAATTTCTACGAAGTTACCGTCAGTATCTGTCATCAAAATGTATTTTTTGCGTCCAATATTTTCATTTTAGTTAGTCCTCTCCAACTGTTGGAAAGCCACCGTGTTTCTTTTTAAGTCTTTTCCCTTGGGGAAAAAAAAACCTATACGATCCAATAATATTTTAAAGACAAATTATAAAAGAATACTTATAATCTCATAGGATTCCTATAGTAGTCTTATAGGGTCTTATATTAACCTTATCGGATTCCATAGGAGCCCTATAGAATTACTATAGGAATCCTATACGATTTCAAATATCTCATAGAATCCATGGATTTCTCGCATGGGTTGGAACAGGAGCTGACCCATCAGGTCTGCAGTTGGCATGAGCAGATCCTTACTGGTACAGTGTTTAGCGGGTTATATAGAAAACCTTTTCCGCTGATAAATAATTAATGTCTACTACGTGAAGGCAAAAAACGTTGCTGATAAATCGAGAAAATCGAATTAAATCGTAATGGAGATTTTTGCTTCCCCTCGACCAAAGGCAAAAGGTGACCCCATCCTCTCAAACAGCCTTGCTTAAGATTAACGTCTTCCACAAAAATAGTCTCTTGCTCTGAAGTCTCGATGCTATGGGCCTGAAAAATTAAACGCGGTATCTGAAACATACGCTGTGGAGAGTTCTCCTTCGTGACATCGTGCACTATTTGCGACGAGGAGAGGAGAAAAAGGAGAAGCACTCGGTTGAAGTCAGCACCACGCTGTGAAGAAACAATTTCATTGCGAGGTGTCCGATGGGTCACGCTTTCAGAGTTTACATGTATCGGAAATTCGTTGAGTCAATGAAGGAATGCGTGATGATAGTGTCGAAGCCAGATAACGTCGATAACACGCGCCATTATCCATTAAATAGAGGAGATGCCTCCATGTCGGGAGTGCTGTTTACGGCGGTCCGAGTCCAGACAGCGGTCCACATGAAACATCCTCATCAGACAGTCATGGGATCTGATGATGAAATGCATCCGCATCCCCAGGAGGAACGGTTCGCGTGATCGCTTGCTGGATTCCCTGAAAGCTCACCTCCTAATTCTGCAGCTGGCGACGTGGAGATATCGAAGAGATGGACGGCGAGAGAGGACGAACACGTAACGACGACGTTTAAAGCGGTCGACGAGTGACTGAAGCAGCTTCTTGCCTGGTTCGTGTTGTCTTGCCTTCTGTATTTTCTGCGGATTGTCATAATTCCTATTCTCTCTCTCTCTCTTCATTCGCGGGCTTCGCACTTGCATCGCAAAAAAACGCAAGGATTCCGCAGACGGCCCGTGCAAACCCCTTTTGAATCGACACTGTCAGCAATCTCTACTCTTCTGACCTGATACGATTTTTAACGCCGACGTAAACATCAATGCAGAAACTAAATATTCGTGTTCTCGTGCAATTGAGCTTTTCAATTATAACTTGTTTTCACCAAATTTTGATATCCCTGGGACGCGCAGGGTGTGTGTAATGATGCACGCCAATTTCAGCGATTTTTAAAGTATTAATTTTTCATCGACGCACAAAAACGTCCATACATCCAATCAAAGACGCAATTTCCAAAAACAAACATTTTTTTTTAAATATGGGATCTCGCTTGCTTCCCAAAGCCGTCGCTCCGCAACCCTGCAGATTGGAGGCCAGACGAAAAAAACTGTGGCGATGGGTCTGCCGAGCAAGGAGCGACGAACTCACGGATCGTCATTTAATTCATTAATTCATCACGTAATTCATCACGGAGGCTCGGAATCCTTGGAATTGAGGCAGCAGGCCAGAGGCGATGCCAGCATCCCTTGGCGAGTTCCGCCCCAACTCTCGTTTCATCGTTCATCCTGCAGATGGCGAGGCGAGAGCGAAACTCTGATATTCCGGGAAACTTTTCTCCCTTCTCTTGGGGCTTATCTTTAAATTTCTTTCGGGAAGGCACATCCTCGGATGATGAGGAAGATGTGTGTTAAACCCCCCAGTTCATATCTCGAAGCGTCTAGCCCAGCGCTTCCCAACCCAGGGTCGCGACCCAGCAGCTAAAAACCAAGTTTTATTTTTCTTTGAGATTTTAGCGCATTGGTGGGGGAGTCTGTCGAACTTCGGCCAGTTCTTGGGGTCCTGAATGGTATGATCATGATTTAGGAGGTCATGCGTGAAAAAGGTGGGAAAGCTCTGGTCTAGCCCGTGCAGCACAAACACACGCACAAATACGCATTTGTTGATCGGCCTAACTAGCNCATCTGGTGAAAACGACCGGAAAGTTCATAATAGACACTCGATGACACTGACGAAGCGCAACGAGCCCGGATAGTAAAATGGCCAAAGGATCGCCAGTTCGGCCAAGAGAGAATGAGAGAGGAATCCATTAAACGATTGGAGGAAAAAAATCATCACCTTTTCTATATTGCACGGAGAAATATAATTTCAAATGATTGTGTTCCACGAAATCCCCTACCTGCCACCCAAACCTAAACGAGCCTCGTTCGGATCCTCGGAAGCCGAAGCGCCCATTCCGGTCTTGCCTCCCGTCGGAACTGATTCTCGAAGATAGAAGATATCGTTCCTCATAGGGAAAGGCGTCCAGGAGAGCCTCCACTCAACAGAAGCGCATTGGGACGCATCTCGAGACATGAGTCATTGCCTCTATCTCCAGCGTCAGTACGAGGGGATAATTATTTACTATATGTTGAAGCATTCAGCTGAATTTCTACGAAGTTACCGTCAGTATCTGTCATCAAAGTGTATTTTTTGCGTCCAATATTTTTTTTTTAGTTAGTCCTCTCCAACTGTTGGAAAGCCACCAACAAAGAAAAATTCAGAAAAGGGAACCCCTTTTTTTTTGGATATGCTAGGTTATTATAAAATTTCTGTTTAATATTTTCTTATGAATATTAGAGTATCCTAAGGATATCATCAGAATATCCCAGAATTATTAACCTTATCGGATTCCATAGGAGCCCTATAGAATTACTATAGGAATCCTATACGATTTCAAATATCTCATAGAATCCATGGATTTCTCGCATGGGTTGGAACAGGAGCTGACCCATCAGGTCTGCAGTTGGCATGAGCAGATCCTTACTGGTACAGTGTTTAGCGGGTTATATAGAAAACCTTTTCCGCTGATAAATAATTAATGTCTACTACGTGAAGGCAAAAAACGTTGCTGATAAACCATCAGGTCTGCAGTTGGCATGAGCAGATCCTTACTGGTACAGTGTTTAGCGGGTTATATAGAAAACCTTTTCCGCTGATAAATAATTAATGTCTACTACGTGAAGGCAAAAAACGTTGCTGATAATTCGAGAAAATCGAATTAAATCGTAATGGAGATTTTTGCTTCCCCTCGACCAAAGGCAAAAGGTGACCCCATCCTCTCAAACAGCCTTGCTTAAGATTGACGTCTTCCACAAAAATAGTCTCTTGCTCTGAAGTCTCGATGCTATGGGCCTGAAAAATTAAACGCGGTATCTGAAACATACGCAGTGGAGAGTTCTCCTTCGTGACATCGTGCACTATTTGCGACGTGGAGAGGAGAAAAAGGAGAAGCACTCGGTTGAAGTCAGCACCACGCTGTGAAGAAACAATTTCATTGCGAGGTGTCTGATGGGTCACGCTTTCAGAGTTTACATGTATCGGAAATTCGTTGAGTCAATGAAGGAATGCGTGATGATAGTGTCGAAGCCAGATAACGTCGATAACACGCGCCATTATCCATTAAATAGAGGAGATGCCTCCATGTCGGGAGTGCTGTTTACGGCGGTCCGAGTCCAGACAGCGGTCCACATGAAACATCCTCATCAGACAGTCATGGGATCTGATGATGAAATGCATCCGCATCCCCAGGAGGAACGGTTCGCGTGATCGCTTGCTGGATTCCCTGAAAGCTCNGTATAAAAAAGCTGGTGCCCAGGCTGAAGAAGTGCATCGAAGTTGACGGCGATTATGTTGAGAAATAAACACATATTTTGGAACATACCCTGTAAATTTGGTTGAAATATATTCATTTTTCGATTTTTAACAGCTGTTGAAACCTTTTTTTCTGGATATCCCTCGTATTATTTAAAGTTTTCAATATAAAAATACGTATATATGAGTGTCGCACTCAACGAACAGGACACCCGATGCCTTCAAGAGAATTTCAACAATGAAAAAAAAAAAATTAAAAAAGGATCAGATAGGTCGAGGTGTGTGGAGGCCGGACACGGAATGTGTCAGGGGTGGATGGTGGTTCGCACTCGAGAACCTCCGGTCACGGAGTCCTGCGCCTGCCATCATGCAGTAAGACATTTGATAGGAGATTCTGTAACCACCGCTCCCCTCCAGCTGGGTCAGCACCATCACCACCTGTCTGGAGAAGAAATATGCATCGAAGAAAGGTAATAACTTTTTCGTGGAATCATGAGCTCCACGTATGTTTCATATGACCAACATTAAAATATAAAATCGAATATGAAGGGATAAAGCCCTTGAGCGCTTTAGAAGACTATAAGCTAGCAGCCGTCCTGCATGGGCAATGTCGTATGTCAGGCATGCCTTCATATAAGTATTTATTGCATCGTGTGTAGGACGCACTTTTCTTCCTATCAAGTTTTCTCGTCTTCCGCCTGTCAGTTTTTATGCCCTGGTCCTCAAGTCAGTCGTTCGTGGCCGGTCCTTCACTTCAATTCCAGTTGTCCTTTTAAAGTTGGGTGTACTTCCCGTACCCCGGAATGTCACAAAGTTGGAAAACTTCTGCACGTATTGAGAGGTTGAAAATAAAAGGCTTATTTCTCGACACAATCGGGGAATGTTGTGGCTGTTGGGTCGGCAACCCTTCCTTGGAATTAATTGTACTAGGGGGGTTCAAATGGAAAGGGGATAACAACTGTTATTTGCAGCTTAAGGGTAACCTAAGGGTAGCCTAAGGGTAGCCTGGGGCATGGACCTAAAAGTCCCCCTTTCATTTGAACATTCATAGTACATTCTGCCTTTCTCCAAGCCCACCGTCGCCAATCTTCAAGCGCAAGAGACATTGCGTTTCCAGATATCCCGTGAACCGAGATTAAATTATTGCTTTCTTTAAGGGCACTGTCTTTCAATCGTCATCGGTCGTCTCATTAATGGCTTCTCCTATCTGTGGAGCGAGGCCGGACTCCTCGCCTTAGATTCCTAGCTCGTACCAAATTATTCCTATTTCCATTTCTTTTCATCCAAAGGTAACAGGATTTCAGTCCAATTTGAGGTCCTCCACAAGAAACGCATATCGCCTCTCCAACATTGACCAATGAAAGAATGGAATATGATAGAGAAGGTGGTACCTATGCAAGGGGGGAACGGAGTCAACAGTCTTCAGCTCTCCTCTCGTCGAGACGACGCCGAAGCTATTCGTGCAATAGCACATCACTTGGACCCAGTTCTCGGGCTGTCGATTTTCTATCGTCACGAGGAGACCCCCCGAGCCTTTCCCCAGGCAATACGCCGTGATCCCCTCGAGTACCTGCAAATAACAAAACCGGTTTGATTCCAACAGGGTGACTGGTTCGCAAACAATTTCGGGTTCGATGCTAAATATGAAACGTTTTTTGCTGATCGCAATCCATGAATTTCAACACAAACTTGGCTTTTCCAGGAATATCCTCTGACCTCACGTCTATGTCCTTTGGCCAAGGTAAGTGCAGGTAGAGGTAGGTACTGTATACCTGTAGAGTCATAATTTGCAATTCGAAACGATGTACAGGTTATCCATTAAGTCCCTATCTATCTTCATGAAATAAACAATACATTTATTTTAAATTTCAGGCTTACTTGACCGAGCAGTTCTGCAATAGTGGAAAGATAGACAGACAACTGAATAACACAGCATGCTGACAGCGCCAGTGAATAAAGAATTCAGTTTCCTGAGCGGTTGATTGGCTGAAGTTGGAACAGGGCATGGTCGCAGGAACTGGCACCAATGGACTTTTTGCGAAGATTTATAATGTTTTAGGTTTACAAGAGCCGTTCAACATGGTTTGCTCCCATGATCGTGGAAGCGTGAAAATCTTCGAAATACTCGAAGGTATCTGGGTGTTTTTATCATTACTCGACGTTGGTTCCTCGGAATTATCGTAGTTTCGCTTTACTTTAGTCCAGAGTGCATATTGAAGCAGTGCTGCATAGTAGCATGCACGTGTCCGAATGAAATCGCTCAAAGGGAGAATCTATCGCCATGATCTCAATTAATGTTTCCCTCTTCGTACTTCGAAAGTATTGATATAAGGCTATCTCCTATAGCTATCTCCATGCGTATATTCAATGTGTTAATAAAAATGTATTTTGTGCGGAGAAAGGTTTTTCATACTGCCATGTGAAGGCCAATTATGAATGCCATGCAGTTCAGCATAATTGTCGATAAGGCCGCGACAAAATCGGACGGCGGAGCACTTGTCTCAAGATCTTCTTGCTGGCGCCCCGCGACGGAAATGTGAGATCATCATAACACACTATTCCTATTAAAGATTTTTGAGACGTTACGAATTTCAATATTCCAAAGACCTAACGAGAAAGGGGAAGAAGCAGCTTGCCAAGTCCATCTTGATTATGGCATGTGTAGCGCTTCCTCTCAAAAGAGGTAAGTGCAGGCGAAGCACATAATTTTCAGGCGATGCCACTATGATGAAATATTATTATCCTTTTGGGAAAGTACAGGTGGTCATCATAATCCACCAGAATAATTCTTTCCCAACGACGACATTGTACACAATACAGAGTGTTCAGAAAGTCCTGGCTCTAGCATTCACCATCTGCCCAAAGCCGTCAGTAAGAGTTTCTTTTGGTGACGAGGCGGACCGGGAAATTGAGAAATTCAATACACTGCTCCCGTCTCATTGCGCGACGCTCTGACTTACACGCCCTCTACTTTGACTAATTTCACAACCGTCAATGGGGAAACTGTGACTGACCTTGTAAACGGTGAGTCTCGGCACTATTCCACAGTTACCAAGAATGTGACTATGATGTATCTTTATTTTTTCGATGCTAGAGACTGGGTGATGGATTGAGCGAACATTTTGGGAGGACGATAATGGCAGTCTTTTTCAAGTGCTTCACTCTCTTATTAAATGAGGAAAGGCAAGTCGGGGCAACTGATTGT